TCCTTAGGATGTCTGGCGGGGAGTGTTCTGCTACAAGTTTACTTGTCACTTGTATTGTTTTGTATAGTTGTTTTAGTTCTGGCATCCCCCTGTGGTAGTTCTCTAGAAATATAAGTGATCACATTTCATGTCAGATGTCAGATTCTCCTCGATCTTTGGATGCCATCCTTTGTTTTGTGTTTGTAAAAGCATCATCTGTAAGTTAATTCTTCATTACATAATGCTTGATGATATATATTTGCATATATTTGTGATAGGTATATTTGAAGCTTTGACTTAATGTTATTTTTGTGATAGCCTTTAGCTATTAGCCTTTCTTTGATATAGCATTCAATGTGTTGATTCCGTTATACTTTGATGTGATAACTTCACTATATGAGTCAATATGTATTTGTTGCTATTTCTTTGTTATCTGATTATTCCATTTAAGTAAATTGATGGCACTGATTTAATTTGGGGTATTTTCAGATAAGAGTTTCAGAACTACATGAATGTTCTCTAGTCATTGTATTATTGTTCTGATTATTGTTATTTGTTATTATTTACAGTTTTACTCCTAATTCATAATGTACCTGGCATTGACTAAGATGAATCCTGACTCATCTGTACTTTATGGATGGAGTTTGGCTGGCTGTTAAATTGCATCTGTACATGCAAGGAGAACAGTACAATGTGCATTAAATATAGAAGTATTTTCACCAGGAAAACTTTTCCAAAAGGAAAAAAACACAAACACATCTCTTTGGTGGAGCACTCACTAAATGGAGAAGAATTGTACAAAATGAATCAAATAAAAACAGCTGCCTATAAGCAAGCTATGGTTGTCACCTCACACACTGACAGAGATGCAGTATAACACCATGGGCAATCAATAAGGTGCATACTGAATTTGCTACTTCAATTTGACTATCTCAGTAGCCTACACTAAGGAATAGTTGAGCTTGTTTTACAATAAGCGTTTTAGAACCGAGACTGATTACGTTTTATCCACGTAATAGCCTCCAATATATTTATATAAATAGGATTTACTGCATCTGTGGTTAACAAATATAAAATATGTCCCCAACTAGTGTCCCCCCAGGGAATCTCGGTCATATGTAAGTGTGATGGCTTCTCGAACAAGAAAAAATATAGGGCAGGAAGTGACTTTGTCCATTGGGAATTGATTGGATTGTTAGATCGTTGTGGTTTCCTACGGACCTTTTTCCACAGACTGTGATGATGAGTTTTCAGTTATCAACATTGCAATAGTAAAGTTTTTAATGTTTTCATTTTTTTTTGCTAACATTTAAAAATGCTACCTTTGTGTTATATTACATTGTCAGTAAATTGCAAAAAAAAAATTTTTGCATTTCTAATACAACGGCGTTTAGTGACTGCAATTATGACTTTCTCTCTTTTGACCAACGCTCTCTTTGTCCCACTCTCACGCCGAAAAACAAGTCACAAGAGCAAGTATACAATGGGGAGAACAAGATACACTGCCGATTTTGCAGGTTTTCCCACTTACAAAGCCTGTAGAAGTCTGTAATTTTTATCATAGGTACTCTTCAACTGTGAGTGACGGAATCTAAAACAAAAATCCAGAAAATCACATTGTATGATTTTTAAGTAATTCATTTGCATTTTATTGCATGACATAAGTATTTGATACATCAGAAAAGCAGACCTTAATATTTGGTACAGAAACCTTTGTTTGCAATTACAGAGATCATATATTTCCTGGTGTTCTTGACCACGTTTGCACACACTGCAGCAGGGATTTTGGCCCACTCCTCCATTCAGACCTTCTCCAGATCCATCAGGTTCCGGGGCTGTCGCTGGGCAATACGGACTTTCAGCTCCCTCCTAAGATTTTCTATTGGGTTCAGGTCTGGAGACTGGCTAGGCCACTCCAGGACCTTGAGATGCTTCTTACGGAGCCACTCCTCAGTTGCCCTGGCTGTGTGTTTCGGGTCGTTGTCATGCTGGAAGACCCAGCTACAACCCATCTTCAATTCTCTTACCGAGGGAAGGAGGTTGTTGGCCAAGATCTCACGATACATGGCCCCATCCATCCTCCCCTCAATACGGTGCAGTCGTCCTGTCCCCTTTGCAGAAAAGCATCCCCAAAGAATGATTTTCCACCTCCATGCTTCACGGTTGGGATGGTGTTCTTGGGGTTGTACTCATCCTTCTTCTTCCTCCAAACACGGCGAGTGGAGTTTAGACCAAAAAGCTCTATTTTTGTCTCATCAAACCACATGACCTTCTCCCATTCCTCCTCTGGATCATCCAGATGGTCATTGGCAAACTTCAGACGGGCCTGGACATGCGCTGGCTTAAGCAGGGGGACCTTGCGTGCGCTGCAGGATTTTAATCAATGACGGCGTAGTGTGTTACTAATGGTTTTCTTTGAGACTGTGGTCCCAGCTCTCTTCAGGTCATTGACCAGGTCCTGCCGTGTAGTTCTGGGCTGATCACTCACCTTCCTCATGATCATTGATGCCCCACGAGGTGAGATCTTGCATGGAGCCCCAGACCGAGGGAGATTGACCGTCATCTTGAACTTCTTCCATTTTCTAATGATTGCGCCAACTGTTGTTGCCTTCTCACCAAGCTGCTTGCTTATTGTCCTGTAGCTCATCTCAGCCTTGTGCAGGTCTAAAATTTTATCCCTGATGTCCTTACACAGCTCTCTGGTCTTGGCCATTGTGGAGAGGTTGGAGTCTGTTTGATTGAGTGTGTGGACAGGTGTCTTTTATACAGGTAACGGGTTCAAACAGGTGCAGTTAATACAGGTAATGAGTGGAGAACAGGAGGGCTTCTTAAAGCTGCAGTCCGCAGTTTTTCCTCTTTGTCGCCATCTCTGTTCGAAATCTGCAATCGCAGTCATTCGCGGAATTATCAACTTTACGTGAGTTGTACCTCGGCACCTCACAGCGCGGAAGAATCCCATGTTTTGAGGAGAATGTGCAGCTGTCAATCACCGTACGGTGTGGATACTGCGATTCAGAATCACAGATTCTACTTTTTAGAAGTATGACCAACATAAGTATGACCAACATAAGATTTTTCACACTAAAATATCATCTGAACAAGTAACATCCACTTTTGTTCTTCTGACCAACTAAGGGGAAAAAACATTGCAGTAAATCGCACTGATTAAATCTAACGATAATTTATCATATCACGTCAAACCGTGCAAATTATATTTTGTTCTCAAATTCTTAATGTTAACAACATCAGCATTGCGTGACTACATTTAAAGCCCTTCATTATCCGTGTTTTCGCATGCCCAGTTGCAGTCTCTTTTTCCAAACTCTCAGTCCAAAGTCTTGCATTTTACAATGGGTGAATCTCTAGTTGTCACTGGTGATTGTCATTTGAACCTTTCTGGATCCGCCATCAAATTAATAAGTTAAATTATATCAAGTGCTGTGAGAAAAGGCTATAAATCTCCACCTCCAACATCCTCACATCCATATAGCTTATACTAGCTGAGACTTCTTCTTTATGTGAACAGATGTGACGTGATGAAGCAAAGACATGCTAAAATTTCCCGTGGAAATCCACCAGTACCACTGGAATTAAAAACATTATTACAAGCTTACCGTTTTGAATCGAGCTAAGGCAAGCAGTTAGTTTTGAACACTGGCTGGTTATGTACTTGCTCAAAAATTTATTTTGGATAATTTTTAACCCAAAAAAGTAACGGACTGGAGCTTTAAAGAGAATGTTAGTTGGTCTGTGAGAGCCGGAATTCTTACTGGTTGGTAGGTGATCAAATACTTACTGTATGTCACGCAATAAAATGCAAATGTATTACTTATAAATCATACAATGTGATTTTCTGGATTTTTGTTTTAGATTCCGTCACTCACAGTTGAAGAGTGATAAAAATTACAGACTTCTACATGCTTTGTAAGTGGGAAAACCTGCAAAATCGGCAGTGTATCAAATACTTGTTCTCCCCACTGTAGGTCTCATCAGCTGAGGCTGAAAGAAGTTTCAGTGCTCTTAGGAGACTGAAAACATGGCTCAGAACAATGGCACAAGTGACACTTAACAATATTGCTGTGTGCCATGTCAAATGACAAATGCCAACAGACAGTTCATTTCTGTTAACGGGTTATTTCACTTAAAAATTTTAATTTTAATTTTTGGGTGAACTATTCCTTTAATGACAGATGCAGACATGTTTTTGGCTTCTTCAAAAAGCAAGGAACAAGACAGTATAACATTGACTATTGCATTGCACTATGAACGGAGTAAAGTAAAGTTAAAATGCCTCCTTGTTTTTATTAGTTACCTATAACATTACAGAATTCATTAATTAACGTAGGCTATTGTTAAGGTCAACATAGACTAAAAACTTTAATACATTAACCTATTAATTTCCTGATTCCTCAGCTTCCTGGGATATCTCCACCAATCTTAAAATCAAACCTACGCCCTCCTAGCATAAGTGACTGAGCTTGAGAAATGTTAAATTAGCTACATGAAACCAAATCATTTGACAATGAGTCAGACTAACTGAAATAAGCATGGCTTATTTGGTAAACTTGTTTTATGAAACAGGCCTCTGGGGTCAGTGTTTTTCCGGTGTTGTACCAAAATAATCTCCGACTCATTTTTAGCAAATCAGGTAAAGAGGTTGAAAAATGCCTATCCCCATTAATATTAAATTAGTCCAAACTACATTTTTATTTTACTGACTCAAAAAGTTATGAACCGTCTACAAGAAAAAAATGTGATGACTAACATTTAAGACAAGCCTTAGTGGTTTATGCAACTGGCCCCAGATGTCGTGGCATAAGGGAGGGGACATTATTTTAATAAAAAAATGACGAAGACATGTAAATTAAAAGAAATATTGATGTGCATGGATAAATAATTTATAATGAATACTGCAATTACTTTTAATAAGAATTGATATGGTGGTGACTACTTGGAAATATAAAATAAAATAAAACGGTAGACTACAAATTACGATAACGTATTACAGTATTTTTTCTTACCTGTGGCATGTGACTCTGTTGGGCTTGTAGTTAGTCTTGTATGCGCACTTGTTTCAGAGGGCGGTGGTGTTGTGGACGGTACATCTATCCGCTTCCTTCGCCAAAACGTAAAAAAGTCTTCTACAACTGCAGCTCTGAAAAGGAAATTGAAGATCAGATTTGTAAACTAACGATATGAAACGCAACAAAACTATAATGATGCTATTATGTTTCATTTCGTCTTATTAGGCTCCACAGTAAAACTAGGCTACCTGAAGAAAAATAGTCCTGCCGCTGTGGGTGTCCAGAACACTGTGATTGAATTTTTCTTTAAATTATTAATATGAACAACGACACTGCCCTAGAAATAGCACATAAACAGTTGACGTTAGTTTAATGAATTAATAGCTGCTAACATTTAACACATAGTGTAAAGAATAACTTAAGTGTGAAGTGGGTGCACGGCAGGACTCACACCACAGATGAGTTGGCTGTTGTCCAGGTCATCCAAACTAAACGTACCTACAGACGGACAGTTATCACACTGACGAGAGTCCAACATAAATCCCTCAAACTTACTCGATCCACCCGAAAGGGTCACTGTGGTAAAATGAGAGAGTTTAAAGTGACACATCTGAAAAAAACATTTTGTTTACACTAATAAAACAATAAACTAACTATGTTTGGGGGACATTACCCAATTCAGAAAAATTCAATCATATTTTGGGAGAACACTTTAGCTTAATCACAACAGCAGAAAAATATGTAACAGCCTGCCACAAACAAAGAGAGTCAGCCAGAATGCCTTAACATGCCTGAATGTAGGTACAAATGTACAATGCTTTTTTTTTTATTCCTAATTATTTTTCTTGTAATTTCTTGTTCATAAAATTGTATTCATGTATTTGTTTACTGATTGATTTATTGACTTTATTGATTATTTGTTCATTGCTTATGTAATGGCCGATGCTTTGCCAATAGGCTACTGTACAAGCATGCCAATAAAGCTCAAGAGAGAGAGAGAGAGAGAGAGAGAGAGAGAGAGAGAGAGAGAGAGAGAGAGAGAGAGAGAGAGAGAGAGAGAGAGAGAGAATCTACCGGTAATACGGCCCGTATTCCCTTCCGAAACTGTCACATTTTCTGGTTCGACCTTGAAACGGGCTTCCGTGTTTTGTGCTGATATTTGTGCACCACTTCTATCAAGATGGATAATATTCATTGCTTGACATTGATCCTCCTCCAAAAAGCTTCCATCGCTGTAACAGGAGATTAACCTCAGCATGGATCCAAATGAAAGAATAAGAAGTCCTGTCGCAATATACATCTGAAACGACCAATATAAATAATAACATCAATTTTAAACGACTTGTAACAATTTCCGTTCATTGACACTTAAGCATTTACTGAAGTTCAAATATAATAAAGTTATTACAATACCTATTGTTTTAGACCTACCGTGATGCTGATTAAAGCTATAGGAGAGCGGAGAGGGAAAGTAAGTGTCTTGTTGTCAGTCGACTCTTTATATAGTAGGTGTTGTCCGTGATTCCGTCAGCTCAACAGATATTTTAGTGCCCAATTAAGTTGGCTAAATGGTTTCTAATGCCCTCTTTTGGCGAATTCAGTTATACGGTCAAAGGGGAAAAATGGTCTTATGATAGCAGCTTTGAATTGTTCTCCTGCCCCACAACAAACGTGCATAAGGAAGTAAGTTACACATGACTTATTTTTGATCATAGTTCTTTAGAAGTGTTTATAATATATTGAGGTCACTGCAGGCAAACCTCTGATGATACAGAGCAATGCTTCATTTTGTAAGTCAAGGTTTTCAGAAAGTTAAATAAAGTGAGTGTTTTGTAACATAAAACTGATAGGTGAGAGAATAGTTCATGTCACAGTCCTTTGTAAAGAAGATAAAATAGCATACCTCCATGGTTATGCAGTGTTGAATGTAGATTTTCCAAGAAATATCTTGTATATGCAGATCAGGAGACGTCCTACTGTGGAATTACTAAGAAAGTCATGCAATTATTGACCTGGAATACTGTAATTTCACACTAAAAAATTTAACAGTGTAGCCTAATTGTATGCAGATTGTTTAGGTTCTGTTATAGATTAAATCCACACACATGTACTGTTTTTGTGTTTTTCTTTTTCTACAGAAGTTGTTACTAGGCTTACAAAATTGAAAATACCAGCACAGTTCATCAAAAACTTTTGTCTAAATTCATGAGCTTAAAAACTAAACAAAATATTACAGAGAATTCTGACAGGGATTGTTTTAGATTCGTAATTGTTTTAGTTTCGTACGCATTATTATTCAAAGTATCAGTATAAAGCAAGCAGTGGAGAATCACTTAAGTGCAATTTTTAAATCCAAGACCTATGAATGTATCGAATCAAATACATTCAATTTATTTGTTTGAAATAAGCAAACAGTGCTTTTGATTTTAATTGATTTCATGTCAACCTTGAAGATTCACCTCCATGAGTTTCCTGGGATACAAATGTTACCATAAAAGTAACAAAAAGTCGGCTACAATGCACCCTGTTGTCAATTGAGGTCTTTTAAACCATGCCATTTTTGTAGTGTTCATGAATCACGGCAATGATCCTAATAATGCACTTTATTTTTGTTCTCAAAGATTGTAATCTCACACAACAGAAATGTTGCCATGCAGGTTTTCTTTCTGAGAAAATAGATACAGGTGTATCTATTTTTATTATTAGACAGGTGTGCCAAAAGGTTTACTAAGACTGTTTAGAAAGGTTACCTTTTATGTTGGAGTAAATATTTAATGTAATGGATCCCTTGGTTGTTTTTTTTTTTTTTTTTTTTTTTTTTTTTTTTATTGAGTCATCTGAGTGACACTGTTTTTAATGTTGTTTACCTTTTATTTTGTACCTGTATTTCACTTGGGAAAAAAAACAATCAAAACAAAAAACCCAAAAGGAATTTCTGATTGTATCTCTGATTGACAGCATTTGTTTTGGTTGGTTACAGACAGACAGTGACATAGTTGTTTTGACACGTCTGCTATTAATACAATTTCCTTATTGGAAGACAGCCAGGATTTTTCTTCTCCGATCTGTTTTATTTGTCATGATTTCCTTTGAATGTTAATATTCATACACAGTTATTTTTCCGATGACGTATACTCTCATTTTCTTTCCTCAATAGAACTGAACTCTTTTCTCAGACCCAGTTGTCTTGGAACTGTTTATTTTACAGTTTTTCTGAAATGCTAAAACACTAAACCCCATTCTCTGAACCAAATTCTCAATAGTCTAAACCAATTTGTCGAATAAATCACTCTTTCTGTAAAACATTAAACAAGTTCAGGTAGTTAAAACACTGTTTGCAAATCTCATGCACTCTTTTTGCAAAACTCTAAACACATTCTCACTCACTAAAACACATTTCACAATGTGATGCAATGTTTCAAAATGCTAAACACAGGTATAGGCGAAAGTTAAACACAATACAACACAGTTGTCATCGATTACACACAACGATTTAAAATTGGTCACACTTATTTCTAATGATGAGACCAAATCAACTGTGCATAAGTCAGGTCAGAGTCCCAAAATGTTGCACTGAATGTTGATACCAATAATGGATGGAAACAATATAAGAGGGAGAGGAGGAAGAGGATGAGTAAGAGGAGGTGAACCAGCAGGAAGAGGATGAGGACGAGGAAGAGCGAGATGTGGAGAATGTTGTCAAGACTGGATCTGTCAGTAGGGTCAGAGGGTTTTTCCCTTTGCCTGCAGAGATGTCTGTCTGAGATGTGGACAAAGTCCTCCGGCCGGACCAACATGAAGACATGATGCTGAAGCAGAATAAAATATCTCATTGACCTAGATTTTGCAGTTGCACAACTCTTCTGAGTGTACTTTACTGTAACATGTTTTTCATTTAGAGTTTTTTACTGTAACCTTTTTGGCTTTTGCAGTATGCAAGTGCTGAATATACAGACATTCGATAGGACTACTGTACAATATTCAGTACAATACTATACTTGTAGTGGATACTGTATACAATTTATTCACCTTACTACTGTAAGTTGTCATTACCATAATTTTTTACGTAATTGCCAAATTTGTTTACTTTTTTACAATATACTTTTTTTCTGTAACTGCATGGTATGGATTTTGTGTTCTCCATTTTTTTATGTAGTGTCTAACGAATGATCTGAAGAAGTGTTTATAAAATTGACTCACTGTGTGTATGATCTGAAAGCGTTGTTTGATTTTGAGCACAGATAAAATGGTTTTGAGGCAATTGTTTGATTTTGCCAGAAGAGTCAGAGGTTCTCTGAATGTGGTTTGAAAATTTGGTTTTGTGTTTAAGGTTTTGAGAAAGTGAGTGATTGTTTCAAGAAATGTGTTTTAGCAATTCAGAAAAACTGTATTAAACGTACAGCATATTAAATTGTTATACTATTATCACTCAAGACATTCAGAGTACTGACACTTACAGAACAAATGGTGCTTTAAATTATTTCTTTGACCAGAGATTTTATTTAATGTTTTTGTAAACCCCAGAGAATTTACTGTTGCAGAATCGTCATTGTCAACATCCCTCCAAATAAAAGATAGTTAGGTTGTTTTAGTGTTGAATTTGTAGTAGTATATGGTGTGTGTGTGTGTGTGTGTGTGTGTGTGTGTGTGTGTGTGTGTGTGTGTGTGTGTGTGTGTGTGTGTGTGTGTGTGTGTGTGTGTGTGTGTGTGTGTGTGTGTGTGTGTGTGTGTGTGTGTGTGTTCAATTGTGATTGTTTTGTAGTAATTTTGTATTTATTATAATACTAGGTCTACACAATGCCATTGTCCACAGGGGTGAAATTTGTTCTTAACATCAAGAACCGTAATGGAAACAAGTCCTTTACTTTACTGTTATCATTGACGAACAAGTGTATTTTACTTTTGTCTAATTAAATAAAATCTAATCAAATACATTTTCATAAAGGGCAAATTGTCATTACTGTCTTCCATATTTTATTTGCAGATGGATACAGATTGAAATATAGGCTACTGAAAATAATTATACTTTTTGTAACTATTATAGATGGCCAATAATGATTTATTTTGTGTTTTGGATTCTATTTCCCAGCTGCTGCTGTGCTGATTTTTGTCTTGATGTGTTGATAAAACACAAACTGAAGCTTAAGGTTCTTGTTCTCAGAAGTCTAAAGACCAAGAGTTCTCTTAGAAAAGACTTAGCAGCATGCGGAATGAACAGATAATGCTGTGGAGTTTCTTGATTCATGTTGGTTTTATTTATGGTGCTGAACTTATGTTTGGTTCACTTTTAGCAGTTTGTGTTGTTTGTTTATTTTGTAATGTTCAGAATTTATCTTTTTTATTATTATTTGTCGAGTGCCATTGTTTTGTTTTGTATGATGAGTATTGATCTCTGTGCATCAGTGATGGAAGAAAAAATCTTGTGTTGCAAGATGATCTCATATACCTTTCAAAGATACATCTCAGCAGCTGCTTTACTAATGTGAAATATCCATCTACAAAAAAAATATGAATTTGAAATAAGATATTGGTAAATTTTTATGCTGAAATAACGCTAATAATATTATAGTTTGAAGCTTAAAATCAGCCAGTTGGCTTATTTTATTCTAGCTTGTCATTGTTTTAACAAATGTTTTCATTTGTCACACTTCTGACTTGACTAGATCAGAAATTTGAATATGAATATACAAGGTACAAGATCCGAACACTAACCATTATGGTGACTTCAAAACAATGACAGTACTAAACAATATAATTTCTTACAGTGGCATGGCTAAAGACATATTTATAATGTGAATTCGCAGTAAAACAAGAGCAGTAAATCACTGTGATGTCAGCATCATTTTGCTATTGATTAACAGTAACTCATAAGAAAATTACAGAAGCGTATTGCATTCACTTGAGGAAAAAAGTCTACTCTGTTTTTCTGAATTAACGAGTTAATTATCTCAGAATTACGAGATAATTTTTCATGGAAAAAAGTTTTTGCTCTGTTTTTCTGAATTAACGAGTTAATTATCTCAGAATTACAAGATAATTTTTCATGGAAAAATGTTTTTGCTCTGTTTTTCTGAATTAATGACTTGATTATCTCAAAAACTCAGAAATTCAGAAAAACAGAGCAAAAACTTTTTTTCCATGAAAAATGATCTAGTAATTCTGAGATAATTAACTCGTTAATTCAGAAAAACAGAGCAAAAAAAAATTTCCATGAAAAATGATCTCGTAATTCTGAGATAATTAACTCATTAATTCAGAAAAACAGAGTAGATTTTTTTCTTCAAGTGAATGCAATACGCTTCCATAGAAAATGACCCAGCATGCATTAATTTCACTGTAAATTTCTGACCAGTAATTTATTGTAAAATAATAACCTTTAATCCTGTAAATTCCTGGCAATTTTTTTTAGTGTATAGCCTTTTTTTTTTTTTTAGAACGGAACCTTTTCACAGACTGTGGAAGGGCATATTAAAAAAATCCTGCACAGTTTTTTAAATAAATGTTTGTATATTTATATCACTTTACTTTGTATTACAAACATTGCATCAAATTACACAAATATAACGCTGCTGTGAGGGTGTTTCTAATAGCAAGCAGCTGTGGGAGTGACGATCAAATTTACATAAGAGTCAAATAGATTTGAGATTATGATAAGGCTATACCTGTTTGATAATAAGTGACAATTAAGATTGTTCAGTGAATTTAATCCTAAAAGCAATAGCCTATGGGCCTATGTTCACACTACACGCGACTTTTTCGCTGCAAGTCGCCAGTTGCTGGCGATGAGGTCGCTAGTGGGCGTTCCCACTACTGGTTGACTAGTATGACATCCAAAAGACAGCGAATCAGCTTTCTTGCCGCTATCACTGCAGGCCCAGGGGCTGAGGAGAAGGATCACGTGCGCTCCACTCCTATTGGTTGTCGCTCGCGAAAATCGCTCTTCATTTGCATAAAGTTAAAAATTTCTCAACTTTGTCGCGTCGCCAGACACGCCCCATCTAGTCGCCAACGGTCGCTGTCGCGCGTGTCGCCGGAAGTCGCCCGCTCACCATTGAAATGAATGGTATCGCAAAAGTGGATCACGGTAGAGATCCACTTTTGCGACACGACTGTAGCGTGGTGTCGTGACGCCTCCCCACATTTGTACTTTGATGGGCGTTCCTCAAGTTTACCGCTATGGGTGTGGTTTTGAGCCAGCGGCCAGTCTAGAACAGAGGACCTGCGAGAGACTTCCCCCCGTCTACATATGCTCTGCTTCTATTGGATAGTCGCGTCGCGTTCGACGGAATTCATTTGCATAAAGATGGGCATCGGCCAGCTTTTTGACACGCAGCATTTTTCCAAATGAAGCGCCGCCTTCCCGGGATGCTTTGCGGGCGCGTTAAAGTCGCGTGACGTCATCCATAGGAATAAAGTGGAGCGCGGCGCAACAGAAGTGTCGCACGGACAAGTGGATCTGCACCGTGAACGGGGCTTAACTTCCGCGTTTGACGCAAGGATGCTCGTGCGTTTCCGGTTGGGGAGATTTAAAGCGGAGGAAAACCGAGGAAAACGGGATTATGGCAGAGTCTTCAAAATGTACTGTCCTCTCGTCTTTGAAACGAAACTTTAATACGTTTAGATGTAATTTTATATATAGTTATGTTTATTTAATATAATAAACACAGAAGCATAAACAAAATGAGGAGTGTCTGTTTTGTCTGTTTTTGTGACTAACGTTTCTTTAGTATAGCAATTGAGTATAAAAACCAATATAAATTCTCGGTATAGCATTGGACTCTACGATCGGCGGAAGTAATCCAGCATCCTTAGACCTTCACTGGAAATACCGCCGTGCATAGAGCCCATTGGGGATCTGTTTAAGGAAATGCATTCAATACAAAAGAGATTCAATGGGTAGTCGACAAACAGGTCCTGGGATAAGGATATGGGTGTGAATGGTGATGTTTGTATAGTAACCTGTGGGGGCAGCATCGGCACAATCAGTTACAAATCGCAGAATAAACGGGGGCGAAGAAACGTCTCCCGCGTATTTTGTTTTCTTTAGAAGCTGTGAGATTTGGATACTGTAGGTTTGTTTTTTTTATTAAAAAGTTTCAAAAAGATGTCGAGTCTCAGTCAGGAACTAAAGCGCTGGGCTATTGAAGAACTTGACTTGCCAGCTGCCAGACTCCCGGATGACGCCTATATGAAGACGTGAGTGGGTTGTTATGAATTATAACATTAACGTTAATCCTCATCAACGATTTTAGAATGATCATGTGTTTACGTTTTTGTGCAGATTATGCGTCGGTCCTGGAGCTTCCATTTGGAAATATATAACGCAACATGTTTATAAAGAGAGGTGAGATCTCAAGGTTTTTATCATTTCTAATTCTTACTAAGTTACGTGTTTTTAAATGCACAGATTCAAATGTCTTTTAAAATATATCTTACAGGAATGTTCGGGTCATGAGGGGGAATGTTCAATGGTATCCTTTCTTAAAATGTGATGTGTTTATATATATATATATATAAATTAAATAAAGCTGAAATATAATTAAAATATAAATATTAGATGAGAAGTTTAAAACTAAACAAAATAGAAATTAGTTTACATAAATAATACTAAAATTACTAATACTCAAATTAAAGCTAAATAGAATTATAGACTTAAGCGAAGACTAATAAAAATGATAAAAGCACATAAAAATTGAAAATAAAAGTACTGAGATAATTAAAAATAGAAGATGGTTAAAAATATCAACAAATAGTGTATAAATAAAATTAAAATAACACTGATTTATATGACATAAATCATTGCATATACAGGATCTGATGATTTCAGTAGCTGCTAGGCCCATCACAGTTTTTGTGTTTATACTACACTGTCAAAAATATTGCAAATAAAGTTGTTACTTAAGATAAATTGTGGTTGTCTGATCAGTGGAATTGTTCCTTGACAATCTGAATCCTTAGGTACAAACTTTTACAAGATAAAGAGGTAAAGAAGAGTAGCTTATTTGCTTAATTTCCTATTTGCTAATCTGCTCCTATAAGGATTCATATGAACAGAATGAAAAGGTGATTGTTCTTTGTAGTTTAAACAGTTGAAAAATCAGAATAAAGATGCAAGAAGGCTTGAGCTTCAGAGAGAGATTAATGCCCTGCAGACTGAACTCCTTCAACTGGACACAAAGATCAGTAGAGTGGAGGATCAACTTGCTACTGAAGGTGAATTTTCTTTTTCTAACCATTTCTATCCTGATGCTCTTTTATACTACCAACCCCTGTGGTACACACCTGCCACAGACACTGTGAATCGTCATAATGAGATCAAAATGGTCTCTAATTACTTAACGCACGTTACTGGTTTTATTGTAAAATTCGGTGTATGCTTTTTTTTAAAAGAAAAAGTGTTTATAATTGTAACTTAGTCTTTTAATAACTTGCTCTGCCTCTACAGCAACTTTCATTTTAAGATAATCTGTTTCCCATTTAATATCCCGTTTAAAAATACATCAGATTACGGAAAAGCTTTTTTTAATGTTGTTTTTGTTACTAATATCTTTCCTCCCTTGTGACTGGTAAGCAGAGCAGAACGTGAACAGGAACTGGGAGGACTTTATGGAGAGCAGGTGCAGACAGATCCTGTTGGAGTCTTTCAGGCAGCGCTGCTCTGAGGAGAGAAACGTGCTGTTAGAGGACACACGCATGATTGGCACCCAACGCCATGCCCTGGAAGAGTTGTCCAAGTGAGCAAATGCCCATATCACCTCCAGACTGTCATATTTCTATGGCAACTTTCTAATGCTGCTGTGTGCCATTTATTTGATGTTTAAAAAGTAATTCTTTCCTCCAATCCCAGTTTACAGTTTTTTACAATCACTTTGCTACTATTTTCAGAACCTTGATGTCATTTTTCAAAACTCTAGACACAAAACTCAAAACGGTTATCACTTGTAACACAGGTTGTCTAATGTTCAAAACATTGCATTGTGCATTCACATCTTTAAAGAAATCTTGCACTTGCACAATCATTGGTTCAAAAAACAAATTTACTGTGAAATACCATTGAAACACAACTATAGATCACCCACACACAAGCAACCGATAGTTTCACTCTGTCATTGTTCGTACAATCATTAACTATTGTAGAACAAAATAGGTGATACAGGTTTCATTATGGTACTACATGTACAGTAAATACCTCTGTTACTGTAAAGTACTGCAGTAGTAGAGAGAATACAGACAAAGTGGAATCATTGAACAAAGTTTGTAATATATTGATGCAAAACACTACAGTACAATCACAACATTGGTTTATTTTAATCAAAGCAAAAATACAGTAATTAGCTATGAAATAGAAAAGAAAAGACAGTACTGTAAACCATCAAATGCAATGAAATAGAAAAGAAAAGACAGTACTGTAAACCATCAAATGCAATGAAATAGAAAAGAAAAGACAGTACTGTAAACCATCAAATGCAGTGTTCCTCAACTTGCTTGCACTGTAAGAAATAAAACAGCAGTGATTACTGTACTTCTACATTGTCATCAACTCTGTGTTGTGGATTTGGCCACAGGTTCTCATCTACATCACAATGGATGTTTTCATTAGCCAAACATCTTGGAAAAAACCTTCGGGCATGGCGAATCCAGGCCTGACACTGGTCTGCTGTGATGTCATTGCAGGCGTCATCCATGGCCTGGAGAAGAGTGACTTGTTCATGAGGGTGCCTATCATGAACCTTCCATCTCCATGCGGAGAAAAATTCCTCAATCGGGTTAAGGAAGGGGGAGTATGGGGGTAAATACAGGGTGGTAAATTGTGCATGGGCCTGAAACCATGCTTGCACCACATGAGCATGATGGAACCTGACATTGTCCCAGACAATGACATAGGTCACACCTTCAGCTCTACAAACCTGTTCGAGCTCATCAAGAAAGGTGACAAGGAGAGCTGCATTATATGGTCCAATATGAGGTCTGCGTCCCACCACACCATCTTCTGATATAGCCGCACACATGGTAATGTTGGCCCCACGTTGTCCAGGTACTTGGATGGTTGCCCGCTGGCCAATGAAATTCCGACCTCTCCTCCTTGTCTTGGCCAGATTAAAACCTGCCTCATCCAAATATATGAATTTGTGATGGTCGTCATCAGCATCCAGCTCCATCACCCTCTAAAAATACATTTTGGAAAGAGATTTAGAGATTACCGTACATTGTAGAATTTTTGGGAATGTTTTTACAACAGCCGTCTTGAAACTGAACTTACCTGAACATACTCAGTCCTCATTTGTTTCACTCTGTCTGAGTTTCTTTCGAAAGGCACATGGTATAGTTGTTTTATAGATACCTGGTGCCTTTTCAGTATGCGTGCAATAGTCGGCAAACTTATGGATCCCACATTGTTGAACATGTCTTCATTGTCCAAGATATGCTGGCGAATTTCTGTAAGGCGAATATCATTTCTGGCCCGAACCAAATCGACCACAGCCTGCTCTTGCTGGTCAGTTAGAATTTTGCCTCTGCCTCCACTATTTGGCCTAGTCACAATTCTACAGGGAACATTAGAGTAAGAAGACACTTGGTCACATCACCTATTCTGTGATACACATTGGTATGCAGTCATTTGACAATTGAGAGTAGCATAATGTTTAGTGCATGCTGATAACTTACCGGTTCTCATTGCGGAAAGTTCTGATTATTGAGGCCACGGTTGACCTTCTCAGGTTTGGTTGTATCATTGTAGCCGCCTCAGTCATTGTCATGCCATGATTTATGACATGGTCTACAACTATTGCCCGAATTTCATTGGACACTCTATGCTGTTGCTGCCGCTGTCTTGGTCCGTGGCCTTGTCCTCTACCACGTTCCCCCACACCTCTCAAACGAGGTCCACGACCACTTCTCAGAAGGGGTGCCTGTCCTCTACCACGTTCCCCCACACCTCTCAAACGAGGCCCACGACCACCTCTCAGAAGGGGTGCCTGTCCTCTACCACGTTCCCCCACACCTCTCAAACGAGGCCCACGACCACCTCTCAGAAGGGCTGCCTGTCCCCTACCATTCCTTTGACCAACACGTCTTCCTCGTCTTCCTCCCACCACTGCTTGACCTCCATTGTGACCTGGATCACCTGCTGGCTCCATGTTACGTATCACTATGCTCTTGCAATTGGATCCCAATCAACTCTTTATATACTCATTCCACAATGTGCCCTCAATCATCAGTAACGAGTAGGCAGAATTGGACAAGCAATTCCAAGGGCCTGCATCTCTACAGTGCAGTACTGTCAATACTTTAAATAGTCTGAAAAGGTGGTACAGTATTTGGGACCATAGACACAGTGTCTGATGAAGCATTACAGTATGATATAAAATATTAGGCTACATCCATGGATATTGTAGTCTAATTGGTTCATGCTCCACGCTAATTGGTGACAATGAATCTCGTTATCTTGAAACTTTCATGATTTACTGTAAACATGGAAGATTGTTTGTCTGTTTCCATACAACTATGCATTAAGAGTAACGCAACAGTTACTTATCATTTTGAGCAGTTGTATCAATTGATAGTTAGATCAGTGTAAGGAAATGAATAGACATTCATTTGAAATGTAATGTGTGAATTGCCTTTTGAAATAGTAGTACTTTGATGTTAAGTTGTGTCATATTGAACAAGTGATTTTTGTTGAATGAACAAATGATCTAAGTTTTATGTGTATTGTATCCAAACAATTGAGAAAATGGTTAGAGTTTTGAAAAATGTGCATTTTGATAATTGGTTGTGAGTTTTGTGTCTAGAGTTGTGAAAAATGACATCAAGGTTCTGAAAATAGTAACAAAGTGATTGTAAAAAACTGTAATGTGTGGAGACAACTATGGTTAATTTGTATGTGGATTTCTGATGTGCAAAAAGCAAATCTGGTACCAGTAGCCGAAGATTTATACTCGCATTTTTTGGGGTTATAGAGACATCTCACACACGTTGGTGATGTGAAAAGTCTTAACTGTGGTTTTACTCGGTAACACTTTAGAATAATGCTCCGTCATTAATAAGTAACTATGCAGGAGTAATGCAGGACTAATGAGTACCACATTAACACTTCAGCTACTACTATTGTACTACTACTATAGAAACAAGCTTTACGAATCAGTAAGTAATATCAAATTTAGGGTTAAGATTGTTCCTTATTATGTAATCAATAATTGCTTAATGAGATTAGCCTCATTAATAACTATACGCTGATTTCACGCAGCTGCCATTTTGAAATGGCTCCGGTGGGAAGAAAACCGGAAGTGTCGCCTTTAATCATAGGAGAGTCGCGAATGCGATGGCATATTGTTGTGTTTAATGTAGAAATTAGTTATTCTAAAAATGTACATACATTTCTTTCATATTTTAGACTATATACAATGAAATTCATTTATAAATAAAATATTTTTTTTTATATATATAATTCAGAACGTAAAAAAAGAAGCCGGAACGAACTATATACATATCCTATATTGGATATTAACATCCAATAGTGTAAATCGCGGCAGGAGCTTCAGGTTGGTAGTCCAAGGCACTGTTGTCTATCTGTATTTCCGGGGTTCTTCCCACCGGAGCCTCGCTTTCGATTTCAAAATGGCGGCTGCGTGAAATCAGCGTATTAACTAACTGACAAATTATAAAGAACATTATCGTGTGTCTGAGACGTAATCAGTCATCATTTTTACTCTGAATATAGTCATAAAATGCATCACTAATTACGTAAGTGTTACCTAGTCACTATGCAGGAACTACTAGTGATCTGGGTTCTCATTTATAAAACTGTGCGTAGGATCCTTACTAAAAGTGTACGTGCGTCCGAAAGCCAAAAATGGCGTACGCAAACAAATATTCTGACTTATAAAACCGTGCGTACGCCAGAGCCTGCGCAGAATTCACTTTATAAATCCCAGTCAGCGGAAGATTGTGCGCACATGCGTCTCCACCCCGAAATAACCATATATGGAGCTTACAACACCTAGTTTTACTATGCATATCCTCATCTGCATATCATTTGCATATGATTATTCATCCACGTGATAACATGTTTAACGGTACAAGACATTTGGAAAATATGAAATACGGATGTGCCGTCACATTAGTTACATTAATAAAAAATAATTTAGTAGCCTATATCCTTGCCTTGTTTTTGAATAAATAAATCAAATAGTGTAAAATACATTTCAGAGAAAGTTTTTCTCAATCTTTTCCACTGGCCAATAAGTATTTTTAATTGATTTATATTTTTAATGGAAACAGATAGACCTTGTAGTGCATTATTTGCACGAAACTATTTTCTCAGACAATCTGCTATTATCATGATAAGCAATTATCTCTGTAGTTAAAACATTAAAACACAGCATGCCAGAGGATAAGTGTTTGAAAGCATTGCATCCACAACAAATATTTCTATTTATTGAATATAAAAAAATGTTGTAACTTCTCAGTAATGATTTCATGTAATTTAAGTGTCTAACTCCATTAATCAGAATGCCATATTTAATCTAAATGGTTTATATCAGAAGTAAAACATAGTTTTAATTATTTAAACTGTTATTGTGAACATATTTCACAGAACACTGTATTTATGATTATAATGAAGATTTACGGTTTTAGATAGGCTGCACTAGTTTCACTAAAGAACAAAGGGATGGATATTTAACAAAGGGATGGACATTTAAAAAGGGATGGATGTTTGCTTCATGTGATAGGCTTGGTGAGTGAAATTATATTTGTATTATCTTTCTGTATACTGTATGTATAATTTTCTTTAAATTTTCGGTCTAAAAGTGACCAAAAAGACATTTAGCTCCAGCTCACCATCGGTGTCGCCAAACTGCTCCGTCTCCAAAACGTGCGTACGCACGGCTCAAAGTTTGCTTAAAGGTTCATTTAGGACATTCTCCCGTCAAGTTTGTTTTTTATAGATCACAACCTTTGCGTGGAAACTGGCGTACGTACGTTTCCAGCCCCGTTTTGTGCGTACGCACGTTTTATAAATGAGACCCCTGGACCATTATTTCAAAGTGGAAAAACCTCTTTTTCACTTTAAAATAATGGTCCAGATCACTAGTAGTCCTTGAAGAATTTTGAAGAATCCTTGCATTTTATGACCACGTTGAGAGTAAAAAAAGACCATTGCTAACGTCTCAGGCACTTGTGATTACCTATTAGTTCTTAGTGATGCCAATCTCATTAAGTAATTATTGATTACCTAATAAGGAACTATCTTAGCCCTAAATTTGATATTACTTATTGATTAGTTAAGCTTGTTTCTATATTAGTTAGAAAATTCAGAAGTAGCTGAAGTGTTAATGTAGTAATACTCGTTAGTCCTGCATTACTTCCTGCATAGTTACTTATTAATGACGGACCATTATACTAAATTAAACACTACAAAATCATGTACACTGCCATTCAAAAGTTTGGGGTTGGTCTCTTGTGCTCACCAAGGCTGTTTTTATTTATAAAAAATATAGTAAAACCTGTTATATTGTGAAATATAACTCTTTTCTGTATACAATATATTTTAAAATGAAACTTATTCCTGTGATGACAAAGCTGACTTTTCAGCAGCCATTACTCCAGTCTTCAGTGTCACATGATCCTGATGCTGATTTGATGTTCAAGAAACAATTAATATCAATGTTGAAAACAGTTGAGCTGCTCAATTATTTTGGCAAAAATTGAGATACTTTTTTTAGGGTTCTTTGATGAATAGGAAGTTCAAAAGAACAACTACTTTTTTTGTGTGGTAACAATTCAAAAGTCTTTACTCTCACTTGATTGGTTTAATGCACCTTTGCTGAATAAAAGTATTATTTTCTTTTGAAAAATCTTACTGACCCCTATGAAAGCTTGTTTCTGCCACAGAAAGGTAATTCCGACTTTTTATCTCACAAATCTGACTTTTTTTCTCCCACAATTGCGAGTTTACATCTCGCAATTCTGACTTTTTATCTTAGAATTGCGTGATATAGTCGCAATTGCGTAATACTTATAAAGTCTTACGATTTTGAGTTTATATTTTGCAATTCTGACCTTATAACACGCAATTGTGAGTTGATATCTCGTAATTCTGACTTTATATCTTGCATTTCTGAGAAATAAAGCCAGAATTGCGAGATGTAAATGCAATTGTGAGCTAAAAAGTCACAATTATCTTTTAAAATATTTTATTCTGTGGCGGAAACAAGCTTCCATAGACCCCAGACTTTTGAACAGTAGTGTATACAGTATATATACTCTAAATCACACTATTTCTCTTCTTGTCCAGGAAAGCAGAGGTGAACCTTGTGTTTGGGCCATCTGACAATTCAGACAATGGAGCTGGAGCAGATCCCTTAGTTTTAGTAAGTGTTGCTGTATTTAATGGTGTTTGTGATGCATACTATAATATCATTATATAGCTACATTTTGGCCTCCTATCATAGTTGATGTGAGTTTAAATTCTGAAATAAAAAATGTTTTTACCCTCATTTGATAGAGCTTTTTTCAGCCATATGATGCAGGAACAACATCTTCCAGTAGAGATCATGTTAACCAGCCCAACTCCACTTGACCTCTTGATTAAACCACTTGTCTTTCCACTGATTTTATGAAATATCTTTTCTATCTCATTTCAGAAGAATGTTAGAGAGCTCTGCAGCGAGAGGGTTCACTTTTTCCAGTGCCTGCTAGAGAGTGAACTTAAAGCAAATCCCTCCACTGAGTAAGAGACACAGGCCTTCGACGTTGATATTGTAGATAGTAGAGCTTTAGCTATGTTACCTTGTTGATGCCAATTCATTTATTTTTTTATCTAGATTTACTCATGATCAAAGGAATGCTGTGATCCAGCACTGGATGAGTGCAGTGGAGGTAAGTGAAGACACTCGTTTTAAGAGTATGCATGTCTGTTTCTCATCTGAACATCAACACCTTATGAGAACATCAACATGTTTAATTCTTCAGAACCTCCTACGGTCTCATCCTCCAAACCAAGTGCTTTTGGCTCTGCAAGCCCTGACCTCCAGACAGCAGGTGGTGTTAGAGAAGAAGATCGCAGCTTTAAATGTGGAGCGTGACGTTTCGGCTCTAGGGTAAAATTTTCCATCGTAATGTATTATCAAACCCCACACTATAAAGTATTACATTACTGAATTGCTTATTTAAGCATTTGTGTTTATTACAGGTTTCGTTATGAGCGTGATCACCTAATAGATGTGTCGTCAGAGCAGGAGGAGTTAACACCTGTCTGTAGTCTATTACAGGTGATCAATGGAGATGGTACTCTGTGAGAGCATTTTACACTCTTTCTCTTGTGGCTCAGGTTGTATTTGTGTGTGTGTGTGTGTGTGTGTGTGTTTGCTCGCAGTCTGCCTGGGAGGAAGTGGAGCAGAGTTATTTTGAATTGTCTCAGACTCATAAAAGACATTTGCAGCTGGAGACTGAAATCGTAGCTTTGATGAGAAAAGCAGAGACGGCACACGAAACAGACCCAATGTCCAGGTGAGAATTCCCTCATCCCAATCTATATCATTATGGCAAAGAATATTGTATTTTCTCATAAAAAATGAGAACTGATTATGCCACTTTTTACAAGATGTAATATATGTAAAGACACTTTTGCAGGGTTTTTTCTCTCATTATAGGCCACTCACACACAACGTGTCTTATAAAATTAGAGAAACAGGCCGTGGAAAACGCAAGGTGTCAAGACGCATTTTTTATAAGTTAAACTGCTTTTAACTGCATTTTTAAAGCAGTCTCCCGTGCAGTCGGGACCTGTTACATTGTTGTGATATCACAATTTAGAGAGAACTCGAACTCCTTTTTTCCTTTCTTTTTTAGAACCCTGTTTAAGTTTATGGGCAATATAAAACAAGGAGTGGATTGATTTTTACCATTATAGGGTGGTTGTGTACACACGATCCAGACACATTTATGTATAATTTATATGTATAAAAAAAAAGTCCTCAAATAATTCAGAAAAATGTATCTCTTTGAATTGAATTTTATATTAAAAATAAGATTATGTATTTAACTTGTATGATTATGTAGTTAAGACCAATAATGGAGGTCTATCTATCTATCTATCTATCTATCTATCTTTCTTTTTTTCTTTCTATCTATCTTTCTATATGTATATATGTGTGTATATGGAGAGATTTAAATAGATGTTGTAAAATACAACTGAGTTTTGTTCTGTTTGAGAGCAGGTGTGTGTTTGAATTGGAGATGGAGGGAGTGAAGCAAGTGGCAGTTCGAGACAGCATCAGAGAGCAGTGCGCACATCTACAGCTGCAGGCCAGAGAGGGGCTGGACTCCATCAGGACCCTGCAGACACAGTGGCAAAGTGTCATGGACTTCAGACAGCTTGTGGTACGCATTGCTGACAAAAGACTGCATGTTCATAGTGTGGAGTTGTTACGTGTGTGCTTTGTCTGTATAGGACAGGAGACAAGAACAGATACGGAGCCTGATCAAGGGAAACTCCTCCGTGAAGACTGAGTTAAGCCGTGTCCATGCAAAGGTATCATCTCATCCAATACATTCTATATATATATATGAAGAGTTTGGTTCCAAAACGCAATAAATCCATTTAGATTAATTTGAGTAAAAATGTGTTTTCTTTACCAAGAAAGTGGAAAGATGAAAACCACTATTTTCTGTTTCAAACTTTCACATAGCATTTGTAGGTCGAAAAAAAAAAAAAAAAAAATCCAGGTTTTGATTTTCAAAGATTTATTATAAAAACGGATTATTTTTTTCCCCAAAATGCAATAAATCCATTTTTTTTTTAAATCAAAATGCAATTAATCCATTGAATCAATATAAAAGTTTTTTTTTTCATATTGAAACTGTTGAAAATACACAACAACGTAAGTTTATTAGTATAATATTTTTATTAAGAACTGTAAAGAAGATTGAAAACATTTTTCCTCCTCCCGAGTGCCTCATCTTCTTAATCTCCTCACGTAAATGATTCGATTTCGATGCCTTACGTTTCTTACCCAACCACAGGTTCATCAATGCCGTCAAAATTATTCATTTTTTTGTTTGTTTGTTGATCGAAAAGTACAAAATAGATAAGAAAAACTAGGAAGCCGGGTGTATTTAAGGCGCTGCCGTTACTGTTTACATTGCGTGGAATGGTGCGTTGTGATTGGTTGAGAGCGGATATATCGCATTCTGCAGAGAAGGGAGACTGGCGTTTGTCGCGGTTTGGAAAGAAAGGGAGAAAACATGACAGAATAACACGGCGGATATCGCATTTTACTTAAAATTAAACATTGACTTTTCAATACCAACCAGATACAATACTGATTTTTGCAGTAACTAATTTTTTTTAGAAATGGCGTTTATCGCGTTTTGGAACCAAACTCTTCATATATATGTATATGTGTGCGTGTATATTTGTTAGGGCTGTAACGATATGCAATATGAAACCGAAATCGCGACACGAAGGCAGAATCGCGACACAGCCTTTCCAACTACCAGAGTTATCCTTCCCGCCCAGATCCAATGCTATGACATCTTTAAATTACTATTAGTATTATTTGAAGTTAACATTATAAAATACATAGACCTACACCACAAAACTAGTTGAGGATAAATTCTTTAATTTTACCTGTAATGGTCGTTTCACACCGCAAGCGTCAGCGGTCCTTGAGCAGCGCGTATTTATTTTTTTATTTTTTCTGTGTGCGTGTTGATCAATGAGTGCATTCACACCGGGAGCAGGAGCAGCAGTGAAGCGAGGGTTTTCGGCGTTGACTCTATTTTTGCTGCGCTGCTCACGCTCAATTAAAGTGAAAGCACGCTTTTGATGGACGAAGTAAATATGATTTCACTCAAAAAGTGTCCAAAATGCACAGAATATACATATCTAGTTAGTTTTAACAAGAACTGGAGTAGGCAAACAAAAGAAAATGAAGACTCACAAATATTTATAGAAGATTTAGGCTACCTATAGGTTTTTCAAATGTTATTTAAAAAAGAAAAAAATTCTCTTCTCAAAATCTTTTTTTTTTTCTCCCTTAATCCCCGAATCTTGGGTTTGGTGTATCGTTACAGACATAATATATGTGTGTGTGTGTGTGTGTGTGTATATATGTAATCATATACAAGAAACCTTTTTCAGGTTGGACAGTTTGTTCAGGAAAAGCTCAATCCTCAGTTTTCCAGTGTGATTGAAGCCAGCAGTGGACTCCGCAACTCTGTGTCACAAGGGGCCAAGCACTTTAGCGGTGTATCACTGGCTGCACTGGATTGCAGAGTCATGAAGGGGTCAGAAAATCTACCAAAATTCATTTTTCTTTCTCCATTAGTAGGATTTAAATGCCATTGTAGGGTATACCATGCTTCGCTAGAATTTCAGTTGCTTTAAAACACAAAGTCAAAAGCTAGTGAAGATGTTAAAACATTTTCTTAGTTACTGTCTGTTTGCAGTGCACATTAATATTGCATTTTCACTGTATCATTGGGGGGGGGGAATTCTCTGAGGCTTAATGTTTGTGCAGTCACCAAGCCTTTGATTGTTTTTGTTTTTTAACAATAGGGGGCAGCAACTACTAGCAGCTCAGCTTTCGATCCACCGGATACAGTCCCCAGTTTTCCTCAAACTCTGTGAAAGTCTGTCATTCCGCATGTATATGGTGAGATCCTCACTTATGAATGAATGAATGAGGCATTTATATAGCGCTTTTATATGTACTACTGGACACCCAAAACGCTTTACAATCATATCAGGGAATCTCTCCTCAACCACCACCAGTGTGCATTATCCACTTGGATGATGCAATGGTGCCAGTGCGCTCACCACACACCAGCTATAGGTGGAGAGAGTGATAGAGCCAATTCAATGGATGGTGATTATTTGGAGGCCATGATTGGTAAGGGCCAATGGAGGGAATTTGGCCAGGACACCGGGTTTACACCCCTACTCTTTACGAGAAGTGCCATGGGATAGAGTTCTCAACGGGCCTGAAAATTACAACCCGACCCGACCCGGCCCGTGGCTTTTAAAGCCCGGACCCGATGTAACCCGACACATCAACATGAATTATCTGCCCGAACCCGGCCCGCGGCCCGACGCCACCCTTTTGATCGGTGAGTGATGTAGAATAGAATGACTGCTGCGCTTGACGCAGAGAGAGAGCCCCGGCCGCGCGCGTGCGCACTCTCACGTCTCCCACGTTCCGCCCATCCAGCTGACATAAACCACATTTCAATAAACGAAAAAACCTATCCAGTGATTAAATGTTTTCTGTATTGACGCTAATCTTGTGCGATGTCCTAAACTGCCGAGATAATCACACAACGTGTGCCGTGGCTAGACGTCCGATACGCAAACGAATGACTCATTTTAACCATTCACTTTAACTCAACACTAGGGTTGGGTATCGGTTGGGTTTTATCCGATTCCAGTACCTACTCGGTATTTTTTAAACGGTTCCGGTGCTTAAACGGTTCTTAAATCGGTACTTAAGAAAATGAAACCGTACACACTTTATAAAAAAATAATACCCTTTAATTTACAGGGCCAAACTGGACACAATATTAACTTAAATCTTTAAACAATATAAATACAAGTAACATATGGTAATAATAAAACCAATATAAAATAAAAATTCATATTTACATAATATCAAATGAAACAATATTGTATCAAACAATTTAATAATACTGGAGATTAATAGAGATTACTAGCAGGCAGAGCTGCCAACTCTCACGCATTGAACGTGAGACTCACGCAAATGACCCTTTTCACACAGAAAAATAGCGGACAAAGAGGACACTGACACCGACAGACAAGACAGAGAAGGTTACTTTTGATATGGAACAAATCCACAGCTGTCAGATTCTGTCCATATTTTTACGAGATTCACACAATAAACAACGTTTTGGCTCTTTGAAATGTGACAGATCGCTGTAGCGCGTCAGTTCAAACGGCACGTGATACAGCAGCCTACAAATCCACTGCTTCTTAGCTACGCAGCGTTGAGTGAACCTATGAAAGAGAACATCTCTGGTTGGTGTAACATCTCTCAATAGGGAACGGGACGCTGCCAAGCTCCTCGCGCTGCCGACCAGCTTCCTTTTTCGGCAGAGAAATCTGAGGAGCAGATGGCGCGCGCGCGCCAACATAATATGACGACGTAAGTGCGTCGATGCGGCGCCCGCGCCATCAGCCAATGAATTGGCTTGATTCTATTTGGGATTCAGACTATCGGCACACTCAGAGGGCGTTCTGACACGTAATTCTACACGTGAAATGCAGCCAAACCTTGCGAGAAAGAGCGCGCATGCGAGACAGAAGAAACTGTGCTCCAAACTGTGTAGCGCACGGGCACGGCGGAGAGGGAGAGAGCGAGAGACCTTGCGTGTGTGTGTGTGCGTGTGTGCCTAATGAAGTTAGGCACCGAAATCAGGCACCGAAATTTTCGTTCTTATTCGGTCTGGTTACTACCGTTTACGTCGGAACCGGTTCCCTATTGGCACCGAGTTTCGGTACCCAACCCTACTCAACACTGAACTCACGAGACCTCTGAATCGGTGTATAAAAAAATCGGTAACACTTAATTAGATTAGTTAACATTTACTATTAATAAACTGCACTTCTACAGCATTGTTAATGTTAATTTCAATATTTAGATAGTCTGTATATAGGCCCACTATATGTGTTGTTGCCATTAAATAAGCGCATTTAGTTTCATTTTTGTTGAAATATTATAATGTTGTTGTTTCTTTTACATCTATGCTGATTATGAAAATTGAACAGCATGAGAAAGATGCGCAATATATCGGAAGATATGATGGGTCAGACATGATTTTGACCACTAAATTAAGTTTTGTTTTGTAGAAAGCCTTTCTTTAAAGTGAATTTCGTTTTGTAGAAATTGTATCTTAATTTTAATCAATTTTCCATCAATCAATTGCCTGGATATAATAAATAAGAAGCAAATATTGCAGACAATAATGATCATGATATAGGAGGCGCGGGCGCGATTGCATTGCACGTGAACTGGAGCACATTGATCTAATCATAAATTTTGCTCATTTAAATAATAGTGTGTGTGTGTGTATATATATATATATATATATATATATATATATATATATATATATATATATATATATATATATATATATATATATATATATATATTATATATATATATATATATATATATATATATATATATATATATATATATAATTGCGCAGCTCCCCCTGTCAATAATCTAGCACCCCCTCAGCACCTGCATTAAAAATGATCTGGCGCTGCCCCTGAGCGACGGTGATTTCACCTGCAGCAAGTTTACTTTTCACCAACTCCATCTTCTTCTCCGGGCTAAAGGCGTGCACGCAGCGGCGTCAGGTCTGCCCTCGCGTCGCGATGCACGTTGCACGCAGCAGCCAGGCTTTCTTTACAGTGAACAGCAGCGATGAATAATAAATGTTGTTTTCACTGTACAATTCAAAAGATTAAGCCCGAGGTCCGACCTGAGTCATTTGCAAATATTTTCGACCCGAACCCGCGGGTCCCGTCGGGTTTGTCGGGCCGACCCGACCCGTTGAGAACTCTACCATGGGATACTTGCCATGTACCAAGTGCCATGGGATCTCTGTGGGAGACCACAGAGAGCCAGGGCCTCGGTTTAACGTCTCACCCGAAGGACGGAATACTTAGTACTCTTTATTCCTAATTTTTCTGAATGCCATTTTAAATCCTATTATTTTACCACCTACAGAAATTGCTACTTTTCTGATAATTGCTGCTTTCACACATTTTTTTTGTCAAAGATTGACAGTATCCATATCCTACACTTTTCTTACAACCCAAAATTCAGCCAAATCTGCTGGTAGAGTGTCAGGAGTCTCGTCTTTCTTTCTGTCAGGCCCCAGAGGAGCTTTGGTCTCAGGCAGCAGCCCGACGGCTGGAGTTACGATATCTGTGCAGGCTTCTTCAGCTTTTCTCAGAGTCAACATCAGACCTGCAGAAGCTGACAACACAGCTTCCATCTCCCGATCAGCAGAGTATGTCATCATGCCAATATTTAAAGTGTCCCTATTATGCTTTTTAAAATATTATCTTTCATGCAGTGTGTCTATATAGCTGTTTGTGAATGTAAAAAGTCTGCCAACTTTTAAAGGTCAAAGTGCAGGATAAATAAAGTTATTATCTCCTAAAAGTAAGAATTGATTCGGTAGACCAATCACAGCAGACAGGGCTGTCTGGCCAATCAGAGCAGAATAGCACATGGAAAGACCAAATCTTCAAACAAATAGTTTTCAGACTCTTTGAGAAATTAGGTGATGTGCAATGTATATTATGATAAAATGTTGTTGTTTTTTTATTATGGAAGCATGTAAACTTATTGTGAGTGACCTCCAAAACAAAATTAGGAACCTTTTAAAATAGCATAATGGGGGACATAAAAACTCAAACACCTCTTTTGTCGGTTTCAGCTTTGCTGCAGCATGTGAAGACTGTTGACGGAGAGATTCTGCAGACGTTGCTCCCGCGGGCCCGTGAGCTCACTCAGAGGTGCTCTAAAGGCCTGCTTTACTCAGAACAAGTGAAGACTGCCATCACACACTGGTAAGACATGGGCCTCTCAAATGTTTCCAATATTGGCCCTTCGTGGAATGGTTTGAAACTAACAGCTACAGGAGCAATTCTGATCCTCAACTGTTCAAACTATGATTTGAACGAGATTAACACACTGTTTGATCGTGTCTGTGTGCAGGTGGGAGCAGCCTGGTCAATTTGCCCTGCCAGACATGCAGAGAGAGGGACTGACATTCCAACAGTGGCTTCAGCGGTGGAAACTGGCAACAAAGGAATCCTGATTTATTTCTGCATTTGAGAGCAAAGTTTACAAGCAACTTTATCTGTATAATTTACATTTCACTTACTTTCAATTCACTTTTTGCAGCCATTAATATTCCTTCACTATATTCCATTTGTGTTTGAGAGCACATCCTGTTTAAGAAATATTTTATGAACTTTTACTGGATTTGTCAATAAATAATCTAATAGACACTGGAATAAAGGAATCGGTGTTTTGTTTTATGGTGTTCTAAATCTCCCTACTAAAGGATGAAATTAGTAAGATGCAGTTTAGTGTACAACTGGTCAAAAGTTTAAGGTAAGATTTTTAAATGTTTAATGTTTCTTAAGTTATTTTCTGTGATTGGAAATCTGAATCAGCAGTTTTCAAATGTCTTTACGGTCACTTTTGATAAATGTAATGTATCTTTCATAAACAAAAGTAATATCTGTCTCCAAAGTATTGAATGTCTGAGCCCAAAGTTATTCAGGTGAGAGTGATTTAGTCATTCCTGTCTGACATGACATTGCTTTCATACTCTGCTAACTGTCTTATGAATTATATTTCCTTAAAGATAACAAAAATCCATCAGCAAACAAAAACAGCAGCAGGGTAATTACATAGGTACAAAGTATTTCTAACCCTGTGTCCATCGGTCAATCTTATAGTACAGCGATTTCTAATCATTTTGACAGCTGAATCAGTTTGACCTAAACTTTACTTGGAGATTTATTAGTTCAGTAATTCATATATTTAAAAAATGTAACCACCTGTTTGTGGTTCTCTGATAGTTGGTTACTGGTCACTTTATGCAGGTAAACAAAAACTATTTTTTATTTATTTAATATTTTCATTAATTTAATTTTTCCTTAACTCACACCCAAGTTTGAGAAACTGTTCTAGTATGTGCAAAACACTTATGTTTTCTGATTCAAACCTTGTAAAGAACATTAGTAAATCAGCAAATTCATTCTCTATTAACAAATGACAACAAACCGTAAAAAAATGTTCAGGGTGTTTTATAATGCTCAATATCAATCTTAAGCAACTCAAGTTAAAAACTGAATTTTCTTTCATAAACATTTTTTTTTTTTCACCCTCACAATCAAAAGATCACTCATTAGAATGCTTACAAATAATTCCAGAGGAAGCTGTTTCACAATGGCTAATTTTTTTTCTTTACACCCTGATTCAATGGCATTGTTTCTGGCTTAAGGCTTGGATAACATACGTCATACATCATAGACATTTCTTTTTAACCAAAAACAATCACATAAAACCATGAACTGAACTGTACACATAAAAGTAAACATAACATTTGAACTTAAAATGAAATATCAGGGGAGACAAAAACAAGTTTTGTGGATGAGAGCAGTAGATCTTTATGTCCAGTCTACTGCATGTGATTGACGACATATGTTATAAAGATTCACTCAGTTCTATCAGCCCGATTATCGTATTCTGGTGAACAGGTTTAAAACTGAGACGGATTCCTAAAAGACAAGAGAGAAAAATTACATTGAGGACATGAACTTGAGGAAAAGCCAATATTGACAATATTTTACCAAAAAATACCATACCTTTGTTGATCGCGTTTTACTAAATACATTCCAAAAGCGCAGAGTTTCATCGCCTGCTCCTGTCACTATTGCTTCTCCATCTGGAGACATCGCCTTCAAGATAAAGGAATCGTTTCAGTAAACAGCATTTTCATACTCATTTACAAATAAATATGTCGACATTATTTAAATAAAACAACAGAGGGAAGCAAGTACTTACCAGATAGAGCACCCTATACGAGTGGCCAGTCAATTTGGCTACTTGAGTGAGCGAGGGGTATTTCCACACGAGGATCTGATTCTGAGAGTAACCGTGTGTGCTGACCTGGAGAAGACAAACATTGGACCATGTAATAAGACCCACCATCATACCTATTTGTCTGTATCTACAGCTGCATGTAATAACGAACCAAAAAAAAACACATCAACAATGAGCATTTGGTCAGTTGATCAGAATAAACATACCAGTTCATTGGTGTGTTTGGACCAGGCCAGGTTGCAGACTTGTGAGCCGGTGTCGATACACTGCAGTGGCTGCGCTGTGAGGGTGTTCCAGAAGCGGATGCAGCGATCTGCCGTTCCCCCTCCGGAGGCCAGCAGCCCGTGCTGGTGAGGAGACCAGGCGATGGCCTTCACTGCGGCCAGGTGCTCGGTGTACTGCTGCATCGGTAACACGCTCGAGTGATTCCACACTAACAGCTGCAGGGATCACAGGATTGTTTTTAGATTGCAGAGAGTCCTAAAATCTTTTTTGTGTTTATTATTCTGTAGCACGAGCGGTCACCTTGTTGTCATTTCCACCAGAGGCCAGCAGCTGATGGTCAGTGCTCCACTTGAGTCCGCAGACCTCTTGTCTATGACCCTGCAGCCTGCGCTCTGACTGCAGAGGGGGCGTCCTGATATCTCTCTGAAGGATCATCCGGTCCCGGCTGCCTGATGACAGCTGATCTGCATTCCAGGCCAATGCTCCTGAGGGCACATTTTTCATAACTGTCAAGTTTTCATAACTGGTTTACCTCACACATATATTTCAGGAACACGATGTGACTAGAACGTGAAGCACATATATTGTAAAAAAATTATTTATTCCTGTGATAGTTAAATGAATTTTCAGCATCATTACTCCAGTCTTCAGTGTCACATGATCCTGCAGAAATCATACTAAAGTGCTGATTTGGTGCTCAAGAAACATTTTGTATAATCAATGTTGAAAACATTTTTTTGCTTCAGCATTTATTTGAATTTAAATATATATTTGAATATATATGTAATTTGATCAATTCAATGCACCCTTGCATAAAAGTATTGATTAAAAAAAATGAATTTCAACGATTTTAGCCTAAATTTTCCAGTTACTTCATGATAAGGATTAAAAATATATATATATATCTTACCAACTCTTGCCGTGTGTCCCTCCAAGGCAAACAGCTTTTTGCCAGCAGTAGCATCCCAAATTTGTACAAAGCCTTTGTGTGTACCCACAGCGACAAGATTACCCTATAAGAGTAGTAGTTGGCCAACTGTTAGACCACAAATTCCAGAAAGCAACTTCCAAAAGTCCAAGTCAAAAAGGGTTAACTCACTCTCTCCGACCAGCCCACAGATGTGACTGAATCTCCCTCCACTGATAGGTCACATAGTCGTGTTACCTGTAGACAAACCAAAGAAAAAAAACACAACTTAGACCAAGTGTTCCCTGGATATTTACAGAACATAAATTTGGATAAAAATCAAAAGAAAGTTGAATGCATAAGAAAAATGTATATCATGCATACTTGACTGGTGCAGGCACTCCAAAGGTAAACACAAGTTCCCAGTCCAACACTAAGTACATTTAAAGAGGACCAGTCTACTAAGTTGAGGTAGAAGTCATCTTGTAGCTCTGGTGCATCTAGCACCTTAAACGGAATCTTGGAAATTTTGCGCGTCGGTTTTCTTGGCGACCGCAGCAGCTTCTGACTATAAACAAAAACAAAGCACGCAATTAAAACAATGCATTTTACTAATCAATCGCATATTTATCAAGAGAAATATTCAACTTACCTTTTACTGCTAACAGGGGAGAGGGAGTACGGGGAAACACTGTTATCGTCAGGAGTGGATCTTTTGGCACTGAGCGAATACTAAACATACAAACACAATGTCCACAGGTGGCATTCAAAACATGGATCAAAACACTCAGGTGGCATCAAATTAACATATAAGAGGATTAAATAGACTTACACTAAAGAGGCTCCTCCTCTCGGGTGTGGAGGGCTGTAGTCTTCTATCTTCTGTCTGAGGATCCAGGACCTTCTCAATCCCAGCCCCAAGCAACTCATTCTTCAGCAGGGCAGAATACGCCAAGCCATCCGCTGCCAGACAACACAGTGAATGAGAGAAATTACAACAAGTTGTAGTATGACATAAAAGGGCCGAGCATCATCCATCAAGAATGAGGTTTATTTAAAGCATAGTCCACCATAATGAAGTTACCATAAGAATTGCATTGTCAATAGCATTGGTCATTGAAATGAAGCTAAAATATAATATACAAGTATAAATACTAGATGAAGAAAAAAAAAAACCTTAAATAAGTTGAAGTACTAAAATTACTTGTAAATCATTTTATTTCTAGCTAAAACAAAAAAATAAAGAAAATCTACATAGAAATATATATAAAACAACAACTAATAACCAATATTTAATAAACATGAAATGATAAAAGCCAATTCAATTTCCAATATGAATAAATATTATAATAGTATATAAATAATCCTAAATTAAAGCATGGTAACATTTAATAGTCTTTGGTGGTATGTGTATTTTCATAAACCGACATCATGACTGAACAGCTTTATGAAAGCAGGTAAAATCAATGCAGTCCTCTCCACACTCACCTTTGCCAGTATCTGATGTTGCGTCTTTGGTTTTTTTATTCTGGCTTGGAGACTTCTCGTTTTCCTGCAATAAGGGTAAAAATATATATATGAACTTGACCCTTCACATTCTAATTAAATGATAGTCACTTTGCTTCATTACTGTTTATTGTTATTTTTATATTTCACTCACATTTATTCTGTGGAAATTAATGCTCCAGTTAGCGCCAGCTCGAGATGGTATGAACCTGTCACCATGCTTGCTTGGTGATGACAGCGGTGACTCAGGGGTCGGGGTCAGGTGACATATCACATCTTTTACTTTCTGTATACAAAAAAAAAGGTTAGAAGAAAGATTTTAAAAAGTATTTAAATTGCATAAAGGAAATGGCATGCAGCACGTCAAAATCAGCCAATTTCAAGTCTGCAATATTGAAGATGATAGACCCACCATGGGGCTGGTGTTGTCATTCTGAACGTTGATCTGCCGCAGTAACCGGCGCTCATAGTCCTGATCCATGGATGTGATTCAGAAGTCTGGGAATGTGGAGATCCAGAGGCACGGAGCCTAAAACTGCATTAATGAAAAGAAAGAAGAAACATTATTTTATGAGAAGGTTACAATGATGGAACTACAGTTTAAGCTCTAACGTTACACCTTTTGAGTAAATCTGTTTGCAGAAGGATGTAAGACTCGTCAGCAAATGCCATCTGTTCAATACCGCATAAACAGGTGTTAGAGAACAGCTGCTCAAATCGACCACGTCCAAACAATAGGAACACTGAGACAAGAATATGCTGGACAGTGGACACCAATTCCAAGTTCGTGACAATTTATTAAGAGAACCCAAGTCTAACATGTATTCTGTTTGGTGGCCTAAGTAAACAATGACAGACACTTTTACGGCATGCATTTTATTAACACAACTGCTGAATAAAAACGTCAAATGCTTCTCTTCTAACAGGTAATGTTAAACAAAAGATCAATATAATGCCAAGAAGAAACCATTTAACGTTAGCTACCAGATTCCTTTGTCAAAACAGCTAACTATCAACACCAGTGTTGATTTAAGCAGAATCATCTCATCTTGTATATCAAATGAACTAGATTAACGTAGGTATAATCATAATAAAACAACAGGAGCTGTGGTATTGTCCTGCGCTGATTATTTTCATTTCGGTGTTTCACAATGGATTACTGAGAAGCTAGTTGGGCTAATTTGATCCCACAAGTCATCGGACCTACCTTGACAATGTTACTCGGTGAATTTATAATCTGATCGGCTCGGCCTTAACCAAAACAAAAGCGTCGATTCAAAACCTTGATAAATAAATTATTTGATAACGATTATAAGATACGCTGCTCCGATATTGTTAGCAAGTCGACACTGCTGTTGTTATCGATGGCAGCGCAAGGAATCATGGGACTTAGTTAGACGTTGACGTCACGACATTTGAAACAAAACAAAAACGTTGCTATATTTTTAAAAGTGCAAAGATTAACAAAAATATTTGTATCAAGTATTTGGTTAAAAATGACATACTATATATATTATGGAGAGTTTGTGTGTTGTATTTTTAAATGTTTATTCTAGGGATGTGAAAAAAAGTACTGCGGAATTGTTAAAGAACATAATACTATATGCCAAATATTTCAAATTTAGTGTAAGTACCTAGCCAAAATGCATCTCCTGTTTAAATAAAATAAAAGTTAAACTTATGTGAGCATGATTGATTGGCTTGTTAGCATGCTTGTTAGTCACATTAATGCTACTATTTTTTATTTTTAAATAATTAAGGAAAGATTTGAGTCATGATGACTTATTACATGAATTCGTAATTAAAAGTCCACATGAAATTGTAAGAGATTAAAAGGTATTTCCCCCTTGAATATTTAATTAAATTATAGTACACATAATCAGTTTTAAACAGAACTCAAATAAAGTACAGATTCCCCAAAATAATAGGTATAGTAGTGAGGTACTTTGCATCTCTATGTTTCTGCTGAACACAAAGGAAGAAATATGTAGGTAACCAGACAGTTGATGGACCCCATTGACTTCCATAGTAGAAAAAAATACTATGGAAGCATGTTTGGTTACTACATTCTTCAAAATATCTTCTTTTGTGTTCAGCAAAAAAAGAAATACATCCAGGTTTGAAACAACTTGAGGGTGAGTAAACATGACAGAATTCGCATTTTAAGTGAACTATTCCTTTAATCTATTTTATACAAATAAAAGGAAAGAGAGAAGAGAGGCAAGGGATGCTGAAATACCTTAATCAAAAAGGTCAATTCTTTAAATTAGCCATGGAATAAGTCATAACATTTAAAATGTATTTAAGCTTTTCTATTTTCATTTTCCATTGTTAGAAAACAAACTTTTATTTTGACAAGAACGAAGGAGACCGGAAGTGCTCCTTAGCGCACCGTTATTTATGTCCGTGTTGGGAACATTTGTTGTGCTACTATTTTATTTGATGATGAACAAGCGTCACTAAATCACGAAAACACTCCCCTGTGTAGAGTGTTTATTACTACACGGCGCACAAAATGCCACGTTCATACTTGAAAACGGACGAGGCGAGAGATGCTGCGGAGATGAAATATTTGCTTGCATCCAAAATTAGGCGTCGAAAAGAAGAAATCCATAACTACATATTAGAAAGGAGAGCTGAAGTTCACAAACGAATCAGATATCGAAGGCACCTATTCCAGAATTATCTCAGCACGAGAACGGTAAATTGTAATTTCTGTATTACAAAGCATTTCTAAGACTTTAATCCATAGACGTTATTATTGAAATCACGGATCATGTTGTGCACAGCAATGTGACTAGTTTAAAATCCCAACTGAACCATACTGTACACTCATTTGTTCTGTCCATGTGCTCTAGTCACCATCACCAGATGAAGAAGATCTGCAAAATCATGTCCCAATCCCTTCAGACCCAGACTGGTGGGAGAAAGTCGTGATGACAGAGTTTGGACCAGAAGACTGGCTTGACAAGTTCCACGTCACAAGAGACATCTTCCTTCTTCTGAGCAGCAAACTCAAGCCCCAGCTCGAGCAAATGTATGTACAACAAACCGGACAGACCATTACACTAGAGAGATGTATCGCCATGGCCTTAATGCGTTTGTCCACCAGCACAGAATATTGTTTCTTAAGCGAACTCTTCGGTGTGCCTATCCCTGTCGTCTGTCAGTGTGTACGGGAGGTGTGTGAAGCCATCATTTTGTTACTGAAACCCCTCTACATGCAGTTACCTGCAGATCACGAACTAGAAGAAAATGCTGAGCAGTTTCATACTCGGTGGGGTTTTCCTCACTGCATTGGTGTCATAGACTCCCTTCACATCCCTGTTAAATCGCCCGCCACGGACACGCAGGATTGCTGGAACCCGAGAGGTTGGCACTCCGTGGTTCTTCAGGGTGTGGTGAACGCACAAGGTACGTTCTGGGACGTTTGCTCTGGTTTTACAGGCAGCACAGATGACATGACCATCCTGCAGAGCTCAGAGCTGTGGACTATGGCAGAGCAGGGAGGATTCTGCTCTCAGCCACCCAAAGAGCTCATGGGTCATCCGTTGGGATTTCTGCTGCTGGGGGATGCGGGTTACTCGCTTCAGACCTGGCTACTGAAATGTTATCCCTCATCGCTGAATCTAACACATCAACAGCTAACATTCAACGTCCAACTAAACCACGGCCTTCAAGTCATCGAACATGCCTTCCAGCGCCTTAAAGCACGCTGGCAGTGTCTGCACAACAGAAATGACAGCAACTTAGACTTGGTATCCAAGATGGCTGTAGCTTGCTGTATCTTGCACAATATCTGTAATGTGCATAACAGCCCGTTTAAAGAGGAGTGGGTTGAAGCACTGAGTCAGAATGAATGTCCACAGCCCACAGACGTTTCTACGGTCTATATAGATGATCCGAACGCTGAGGCAGTTCGTTCTCTGCTCTGTAGCTATTTTGAGCAACAACAGATGAGTAAAACACTCGATCAGTCTCCAACAAGCAGCCCGGTTCTGCCTGTACCTGAGCCTCCTCAAGTTGACTGTGCTGGAACAACATAGCTTGTTTATTGAATATTTAATATTTTCCATTTAATATTTAAAAATGAACATGGATTAGCTGGCAGGAAGTGTCTAAATTGATTGTATTTAAAGTCAATCTCATATTTTATGACTCTAAGGTGATTTGTTTTATTAACTTTTATAAATGAATGACTTTTAATATGACAAGTTTTATTTGGTGTCTGATGTATTGATATTGTAAATAGTAGATCTAAATGTTGTGTTCAAAGATATTTTTATTTCTGTTTTGTTGAAATAAACAATAATATTGATGGCAATGCATGTTTCAAGTTTTTGAGAATGACTTTAAGCCTAATGATCATAATTTATGCACGTCATGTTGTTCCTTTCCATGTTGACTTTCAGCCCTTGGAACATCATCATCAAAGCTATTTCACAGACAAGGCTTAAATCTAGTCCCAGACTAAAATGCTTGTTTCAGCTTTTAACTGAAAGCAATTTGCACTGACATATCTTAAAATATGTGACTGCCATTGTGCACAACAGTAATGTTTTTTTTTTCTAAAGCACATTTATGAAAGCTACTTAATGTCCTAATTGAACTGAGGCCTAATCCTGGTTTAATCTAAACCCTGTATGTGAAACCAGGCCAAAAGATGTTAACGGTGATGTTAGGGACTGAGTGTCTCAGTCCACATTGACTCTCCTAGAATTTAAAAGTGCTGCATCAACAATGTAAATCAGTGGTTCTCATAATTAGGCTACAGAATGAATAAAATGTATTTTATTATTAATACATTAAAACAATCTAACTTAATTAAAAACAGTTGAGATGTAAACTGAAATCACATTTATTTTTTCCCCTCAATATATATATATATATGAAGACCTCTGATGCAAAAGCCACCTCTGTGAAAAATGAGATAATAATATTGAGTGAATGCTCTCTGCACATAGTATACGTTCATCAAATACTTTCACTTCAAACTCACTAAATCCCAGCCTCAGCCCATTCAGAAATGCTGGTACTTGGGTAGAAGCACACACACACACACACACACACACACACACACATAGTGTTGGACATTTTCGAGCCATAACGGTTGAGAACCACTACTGTAAATTGTATATACTCTACTGTTTGTTTACAAATTTAGCAGTGGTTTCACTCCAATCCAGTAGGTGGCGGTAGAGAAATGCGAGTAAATCCAGAACTCACTACTGGAATACACGAGTGAAACAGTTCTTCTCTTTGCGTGGTCGGCATGGGGAGGTAGATGGAGCACCATATGAGTGAAAAACAACATCTAGGCTTGTAGTAAGTTCAAGATACAAATACTTTAAACATCGTAATGAATCAGATTGTAAACTCGGTTAGCGTCATGCTGTCACTAACACTGTAATGTTTTTAAACCCATCATTCTGCCTGCTACATAACACCCTTTTTTCTTTTCATAACACGCTTACACGTAGTTGGTTATTCTGAAATTAAAAAGCACATAAAAGACACATTTCTATCATACACCCCATTTTTCTATTAATATCACTTTCTGAATCTTTCCAAAATAATCTTTGAGTAAATCAGAATCAGATATTTTGATGACATCATTATGTCATACCATAAAAGTTTACGAACTGTTAATTCCTAAAGATCGGATTTGTTTGCAGCCTATGAAGCTCAAACATGCTGTTTAGGTTGGCAGCTCACAAGGTTTTGAATCATCATATGAGTCATCATATTTAATACTATTCGCAGAATTTAATAAAACATTTTATTGCTTTCAAATGTAGGTTCTATACATGTGCTGCTTTCTTGAGTACTCCGTTTAACCTGGTCATAAGGACATCAACCAGACACTGAAAACTCATGGCAAATAAGGATATAGCTGCGGTGGGAAGCATTCTCGTCAACCCGAAGCAGGACTTGACAACTCGCTTTAGAGCACTTTTTACTCTGCGCAACCTTGGTGGACCAGAGGCCATTAGATGGATCAGTGAAGCTTTTGTGGATGAATCTGCACTTCTGAAGCATGAGCTGGCATACTGCCTCGGACAAATGCAAGACGAGCGGGCCATTCCTGTCCTAGAGACGGTCCTGAAAGACACTAATCAAGAGCCAATGGTCAGACATGAAGCAGGTGAGGATTACAGAGGATCATTATCTTCCTTATTTCTTTTCTTTCTTTTTTTTTTTGCAGAAGTCTCATTCAGTGTTTTTGTTATATTTTCAATTCTAGGAGAAGCTTTGGGAGCCATAGGAAATCCCAAAGTCTTAGATTTATTGAAGGAATATGCAGAAGATCCAGTTATTGAGGTAAAGTAAACCCATATCACCCATTTATTAACCATTCATTGTTACAGTAACTCTAGAATAGAATCATTACAGCATAGTATTGTGATATTTTGCATGGGTATATTGTATCGATACATGGGCGCCAACTTTTCATGGCCTGAATTTTGGCTCGGGATTGCGAGTGTTGTATTTCTTTTCAATGAAAGTAACCACATAATGCCATCTAGAGGCCAAGTTGTATGCTTTTTAAGTAGTATATGTTGATGGGCAAATTGATGTATCTTCCTATAACAACAATATATATTTGATTCAGCACAAAATTACATTTCATAACTGAAAATGAGCATAAAGTATTTTGTCACTTTTGACTTGTTCATTAGTGTTGTTAGTAAGGTTGTCAACCTATCCTCTGTAAAACTGTTTAAAACAATATTGTATTGTAAAAACAAATACATTGAATTGAGTGCGAAAACATTGAAATGTGCAAACATTTTTATTTGACAACTGTAATTTCTATTAGAAATCATCTAAAATACAAGTCTAAAATAGTGTAAAATATCAGGAAGGAAAATATTGAACAAGGAGGGGACGAACGAGATGGATATGAAGATGAGAACAGTCAGACAACTTGCATTCATTCTCTTTTTGTAAAGGTGGCAGAAACATGTCAGCTGGCACTACAGAGGCTGGAGTGGCTCATGAATGGTGGGGATAAGACAGCAAAGAGGACAGATGAGAACCCCTACTCCTCCGTGGACCCCGCTCCCCCAGCCCCAAGAAAAAGTGTCCCGGATCTGAGGGCGCAGCTCTTAGACGAAAGCCTGTCACTGTTCGATCGCTACAGAGCTATGTTTGCCCTGAGGAATCTTGGGACTGAAGAGGCTGTTCTGGCTCTTGGAGATGGTGAGAAAGATTTGAACTGAGCTCAGTCCACACATGATGAAGATGCAATGCTAGGTCACATCAAGAACGTTTGAACAACAAAATGTTCACATTTTTGGAAGAAGTCTCTTATGTTCACCAATGATCAGGAATACAATTAAACAGTAATATTGTGAAATATTGTTGCAATTTAAAGGGTTAGTTCACCCAAAAACCCGTAAGACCTTAGTTCATCTTCGGAACACAAATGAAGATCTTTTTGATGAAATCCGAGAGGTTTCTGACCCTCCATAGACTTTAACGTCACTGCAACTTCCAAGGCCCAGAAAGGTAGTAAAGACATCGTTAAAATAGGGCATGTGACTACAGTGGTTCAAACTTAATGTTATGAAGCGACGAGAATACTTCTTGTGCACAAAAAATAATGACTTTATTTAACAATCTCTTCTCTTCCACATCATTTACACTACGGCAACAGCATAGGAGAATGACGTGGAAGAGAAGAGATGTTGAACCACTGTAGTCACATGGGTCAGAAATCTCTCAGATTTCATCAAAAATATCTTCATTTGTGTTTTGAAGATGGTTTGGAATGACATGAGGGTGAGTAATTAATAACAAATTTCATTTTTGGGTGAATTAACCCTTTAAAATATCTCGTTTTTTATTTTTTTTGCGTTATAAAAGCTGCATTTTCAGCATCATTACTCCAGTCTTCAGTCTCATGATCCTTCAGAAATCTTACTGCTCAAGAAACTTTTATTATCATCATCAATGTTGAAAACGGTTTAATTTGATACAGTTTCTCAGGATTTTTTGAAGAGAGAACAGCATTTATTTGAAATAGAAATTGCATTGTCATTGCATCTTTGATGGAAAAAAAGTTCTAATTTCTTTCAAAAATGTATTTTAGGTCTTCAGTGCAGCAGTGCCTTGTTCCGCCATGAGATCGGTTATGTGTTGGGTCAGATCCAACACGAGGCCAGCATCCCTCAGCTGCGGGCAGCTTTGGAGAAGACGGATGAGAGCGCCATGGTCAGACACGAGTGTGCCGAAGCGCTGGGCTCCATCGGGAAGGAGGCGTGCTTACAGATCCTAGAGCGCTACAGGAAGGACCAGGAGCGGGTGGTGAAGGAGAGTTGTGAGGTGGCGCTGGACATGCTGGAGTATGAGAACAGCTCGCAGTTCCAGTACGCAGATGGACTGCTCAGACTGCAAAGCGCTCAGTGAAACCTCTCACACAAACGTTAATGTTTCACAGCCGATGCATATTTCAAACGGAATGTTTTTCAAATATTTAATAAACACTGGTTTTTCAGATACATCTAAAAAATGACTTCCTTGAAAATGTAGGAAGACCTTTACATAATAAAAGCATTCATTTGACCACGTATGCTTGTCTGTCTTGTTCTGTCTTTAAGCTTTAACACTGCGTCATAAATATTTGTGATATCGCTTAAGTTTCTTATCTTCAGTAAGGTCATCGTGACTAATGTTAAATCCTCCACTCATGAGCAGGGGTGATTAACACAGCTAAGAGACATGTATAACAGTACGTTCTGACTAACTAATCCACACAGCGGTCTATCTCATTTAATAAGAGTCTTCTTTAAAAAAGCACATGGAATTAAAATCCAAATGCTCTAATCCATAATTGATCATCCCTCTCTAGCATATTAAACAATTACTGTAAACAAACAGAAATGTGAAGCATTTCACTGATTACTTTTGTATCTATATCAATTTTATATCTGCATTAATTAAACAAACTTAAAAAAAAGAAGTTGGCCAGTTGTTGCGCAGTTTCATTTAAGTAAACTACTAATTTACAGATGATAGTGTGGGTGGAGGGTGACGAACCTGGATTGTTGTGGTCAGCAAAGGCTCTGAAAATGTTTAAGCCTTATTTGAGCTTGGGGGAGGAGAGAAGACCACGTACTGAAGAAAAGGCAGGACCAAGCCACAGGAGAAACACTAAAAGTAACACGAAGCAGAGAAACGCTGCAGTCAGGACAAAACTTGCAAACATGCTACACCCCTTAATGATTGGTATTATCACGGTTAATACCTCCATGACCATTGCATACTGGATCTTCATTCTGACAGAAGCCTTTCACAAGAAGACTGACGATGAAACCGAAAAAGTCAGCCCTGCTTAGCCAACACACCCTGCGTGTAGTTGTGTATAGAGAAGGTTAGGGTGGACTGTCTTTTGTCTCTTTTTAATTTAGAAAACTTGGAAAGAAGAAAAAATCGGACATGAGTAAATATTCCATGACTTCAACTCTCCAAGGACTGGTTTACCTCCAGGTAACATATTCAGTGTTTTTTTTTTGTTCTGCACAAAAGTGGGGGGAAATATCAAAACAGTTTTATATTTTTGTATGTTACCATTTTTCCTGAATGTTTAAGCATTTTATTACAGTTTTCTTTTTCTGAAAAATGACACTGCCATTAAAAAAACAATTTGGGGTCGGTAAGATTAAAAAAAAATGTTTTTAAAAGAAGTCTCTTATTTGATAAACAAAAATACAGCAAACCAGTAATATTTACAATTTTCAAATGCAATTTATTCATGTGATGGCAATCATTATTCCAGTCTTCAGTGTCATATGATCCTTTAGAAATCATTCTAATATGTTGATTTGGTGTTCAAGATTTTTAAATATATATATATATATATATATATAATTTTATTATTATTATTATTATCATTATTATTATTATTATTATTAATCAATGTTGAAAACAGTTTGGATTTTTTGGATACTGTTATACTTTTTCAGGATTCTTTAATGAATAGAAAGTTCAAAAGAATGACATCTATTTGAAATCAATTTAAAACTCTTTGCTGCCACTTTTGTTCAATTTAATGCATCCTTGCTAAATAAAAGTATTAATAATAATAATAAAAAAATCTTACTGACTCCAAACTTAACATTACAAGTAAAAGTGAATGTTATAATGTCCTTTTAATTTCATATTAAGTATTTTATTGGAAAAAAAAATCTTCTCAAAATCATTGTAAATACATGACTGCTATGGGACATGTTGTCGCAAAGGTTAACGTGTTAATTTAACAATATTGAACTATACATTTTTGTTCCCTAGTCATGATCAATAGCCTTTGTATAGTCCAAACATTAAGATATGCGTATATATATATATATATATATATATATATATATATATATATAAACGTATTTAAAAAAATAAACCTACCCCAAGTCGATACCTTTTTTGGTGTAATCTCTGTAACAACAACATACTTAAAGTAACATGGCAGAGCGATGAGTAATATCAGATCATGTGACTCAGAGGATCAGATCTGTCTGGGTCAGTGGCTCAAACAGAAAAGCTCTTCCTCTGCCTGTCAGTCAGTCAGAGACTCAGAGAGAGTTTGTGCAGCATCAGGCTCTGAGAGAACGCCAACACAGCTGAAATTAGACATGGATCCCATATTGATTGGCATAGTGACTGTCAACACAAGTTTAACTGTTGTGTACTGGAACTTTCTTATGGCTCAGGTTTTCTGCAGGAAGATCAAGGATGCACCCAAACCTGAGGAAATGCCAGTCTAAGTGAGTAGCATTGATGTTATTAGTCGATGGGCTCAGTGTCACGACCTGTTAGATACTGTCCTAAGTTTGGGGTCAATACTTGTATTCCACAAAGACGCATTCAATTCTGATTCAAAAATGATAGTAAAGATATTTATAATGTTACAAAGGATTTATATTTCAAATAAAAAGAAAATATTAAGCAGCCCAGCTGTTTTCAACTGATAATAATAAGAAATGATTCTTGATCACCAAATCAGCATATTAGAATGATTTCTGAATGATCATGTGAAACTGAAGACTGGCGTAATCACGGCCGCATTAACAATAGGGCTAGGCGGGGCTAAAGCCCCGGGGCCCGAACAAGGAGGGGGCCCGTGATTGGCTGTGGAGTAGATACTAGCCATCTGATTGCCAAAGCCTTACCACGCAACGCCCCCCACAAATTAGCCCTGTTATTTAGTGGTGCTTTGCCGTATATTCCATGCATTATCATGGAATCATTAATATTATAGTGACCGTTCGCAAAGACCCGCCTTTTTTAGTTACAGTGTGACAAGCCAGGCGTCTCTCACGAGTCACGCACATCATGTTCTCACTCACGCAGTGAAAAATACATCGCGGGGCAAAGACTAACGTTACACCGAGTGACTACGAGAGAGAGAGATCAGAGCAGCTTACTGTTGATATGAAACAAGGAATGGTGAATTGAAACGTCACGTTTTAATTTGATATAACAAATACATTTATTCTATATTTAACTTGTGAACGATCTACCTGCTGCTGCACGTAGCAGGGGCGGATCTACAGGGGGGCAAGGGGAGGCAGGTGCCCCCCCTCTCTAGAGCCTTGCCCCCCCTGCTGCCCCCCTAACTTTGATGATCCAAAAACTGTACTTGTAAAAACAACCTGCCACTATGTCCACAAGCTTTTTAAAACAGTGAACTAAACAATACATTTACCAAAAGTGAACAATTTAATTTTTAATTTTAAATATATTATTAGCCCCTCCCCCCTGCGTCCCTGATTCAAACGTGCAGAGCGGCGTTGGCGGCTCACACACACACACACAGCGAGTCTGCTGCGGTGAGGTGGCCCTGCAACCCGACTGGAGAGAGTGAGCTTCCCCAGAGCCTCTGAAGGTGAAGTGAGTTTCCCCAGGTGTAGTTTAAACACACACGTTTAACTTAAAGTTACATTTGTAATGAATGTATTGTATACTAAAGACGATTCAGCATCAGCAAAAACAGCGCGTCTATTACGTTAGCCAAAATCAGCGGTCAATTCGCTCCCTCGTGATTTGTAAGAGCACTCTTCCCTTTGATTAGCCTAATTTTGATTTTAGTAAAGACAAGAACAGCTTAAGGCGAGACACAATAACATCGGGGTTTTTTTCACTGGTTAATTTGAAGATTTTGGGCTATTTGTCTTCAATAACATGTCTTCTTTCAGACTTGTGGTGAAATTTTTTTTCCAAAAAAACACATTTAGGACTTTATTTTACTACACTTTGTCTATTTGCGTCAGTATTCTCCTAAATTCAACAGAAGTTGTCGTTCTAAATCAACATGTTGCTCCGCGATCGCTGCATGTCAATGTCATCACATACATCTCTGTTGGAAAGCTCTCTCTCCTGTACATTGTTGTCGTATCCAAATATGGTCATTTCCTTTTAATCAGCAACCAATCGTGAAAGTACAATGGGCATTTAACTCTAAAACCGAAATCTCATTGGCTGATGTCAATTTCTGACAACGTGATTCGTTCAGATGCATCACGTGACGTGCTCTGACATTTAGATATGCGTTTTTGACCGTTTTTCTGTTAAGTTGAAGGCCATAAATGCTGTGATTTAGGTGGTTTGTATTGTTGTTGCTAATGATTTGGTAAGATATTGTGTCTGTAAATAGTTGTTTCCACTAAAAAAAGTATGAATTTTTACATTACAAATCTTTAAATGCTGTTTTCTCAAAATTAGTTTTTTGTCATTCTCCAGTACAAACATCTCAGCCTGTGTAGCACCTATGTACACCAAACTTTCCAGTTATACACTTAGCAGTATTCTGAAGATATTTTCAGAGGGATTTGTTAATAAATCATTCCTAAAAACCTTTGTAGTGTGTAAGGGCATGATTAAACAATAACGTTAATCATTTAATAACGATTAAATGTGTTTTTGTGTTTGTTTTGTTAAAGCAATTCACATATAGGGATTCCCATGTACCGTCTACCCCTGCCACCCTGCCAAGACCTCTTGCCACCCCTTTGCCCCCCCATATAAAATTTTCTAGATCCGCCACTGGCACGTAGGCCTATAGATGGCTGCCTGCGCCTTATTAGAATATACGCATCAACCAATCAATCGCATCCACTCTTCACTTCATTCTATTCTTAAAACACATGCGTCATCATCGACCCCAAAAATTTTCGGTAAGTTTGATTATTAACTTGATGGATGTATGATGCTTTTTGTGTTTGATCAAACTCTATTTTCGCCTAAAGGGCTGGCGATAATATATCCGGTAGAAATATGTACATTTTCCTGCGCCATCATGATACAAGTTTATAATTTAAACGCGTTTTTTAAACATTGTGGTTTGGATACAAATTATTTTAAACTGCTCAGGCACAGTAAGCAGCGGGAGAGAATTCATTTTGGTTTTGAGACCATGGTGAACTTGAGACGGTTTTGCACAGCGCACTTGAGTTCCGACCCTGAGGTCTTAAAGTGACAGTAGCTACTAATAAAGCTGCTGTCGCCATTTCTGCAATAATGTTAATCAAACATTAGAAATAAAGTTATTTACTGCCCTTGAGTGATTCA